GTGAGACAGACTGGAGACGGCTGATTTGGCCGTTTCGGTCACGCGGTGTTCACTGGGAACGCATATTGATCAAGTGGATCTGGTTCCCCTGGAATCAGGCAGGTTCCGCATTTCACTGATGTTTATTGAGAAACTAATTGGCGAGTGGAAGTTTTGAACAGTAATTTGTCAATATATATGAATGAAAACTGTTGTATATTAAAAGCAGCCTATATGTGCTTATGTAACTGTTAAATTGAACCCAGTTTCATTTTCTAAATATCTGACTCATGGTGAAAAAAAGTTATCATATAGCATTGCATAAACAATTTTTTCTTAGCGCCTTATTCTCACTACTTTCAACCTTTAGATGGAAGGTTAACGCGGAGCTGCACCAACCGTTCTCTGTACTCACCACACACTCTATTTTCTTGGTCATTGTTTCATAGTTGCGAAAATGATTCGAGACTCACAACTGGTCATTCTTGCACACATCTTTATTCACATTGTTTAAACACATGACATAGCAATATTTACACCATCATCTCTTCTCGCGTTAAGTGGTCAATGATTACGAATCACAATAATGAATGGTTCCGTGATAACGTAGTGCTCAACTACGTGCCACCATTCTCCTTATCGGGAAAGTGCAGCAAAACCCTTCTCATTATAATATTAAGTCCGAGAATCGAATTAAAAACGCATCGTGATATAAAAGATAGTAGAGGCAAAAAGAGTGCAACAATGTTTTTTTTTTTTGTGCACTTGATGGCTACCGCACGGAATGTCATTTTGCTTCTTATTCGCTTTTTTTCACTGAATGAAGTGGCAACAAATTTCCCTTAAAGCTGTTTTCATCTGTTTGCCGAGAACAACCTTAGAAGTATACCTAGACAGCCACTTGGCTAACAGCGACACATTACTGTGCACTGCTGAGTATGCCAACGTCTATGTTTATAATAGATCCGGCCTTGATAGCCTCCAGTCCACCATGTAGTCACCAATGGGTGGTCTCTCCATAAGGCAACTTGCCTCAGGCGGGATGAGCGCTGGCGTGTGGGATGATTGTCAATACAACTCTGCAACCGTTGGCATGCGGTCGGTGTTCCTTTCTTATTTTCGCTAGCTGCCGCAACGATAATGGAAAACACGTACCTATCAAAGTTGCACTTAATACTGCGATAAAATTAAAAGGTGTGTGCGTGTGGGGGGGCATCTTGGGTGGTTACGAAATAGTAAACACTTCCAGATTTCTTCCTTTCTTACGTTTTTATGTTACAATTTCCAAGCCTTTTCATGCATATCACTTTCATCCGCCTTTGAAGGGAACATGCTGCTGATTTCTAAAGCTGCAGCACGCTATGTAGTTGCACTTACGTGCGAGCAGGAGCCGGAAGCACTTTCCTTCGGAGTTTTCAGGTAGATTTTCAAGTTAACTGTAATTGTTGCTTAATCACCTTGTATTTTCCTACGTGAATGCCTAAATGCCTATTAATTGGCACTTTGTTAGAAGGTGTAGCAAATATGCGGCCATAATTGCTTTTGGTAATTGAGTAGGGCAACCTCCATTACTATAGCACTGAATAAAATGACAATAGTTCAAAAATATAAGATAATTGTACCTCGGCTATAAATACACAGGCAAAGGGCGTAAAGCTATTTACTGCCCTAATCGGTTGGATCAGTTAGATTCAGTCATGCTAGATTTGCATTACGGCTACAAGCGTCATGTCATTAAAAAGGTCCTCGAACCATTTTCTCAAGTAATCATCGACTTACATGAGAATCAAAATTTATTGCCTCGCGAATATAATACCGCCAGAATTTCTCGCATACGACAAGAACAAGTGGTATTCAAAAATTTTGCTCTGCACAAAGAAGAATGGCCCGAAAAAAAGAAATTGCGTCTGCACGCGTCATGACCTGAGCGTGCGTTATGAAACTCGGTCGCTCTCTCCCGCTGTGATTTTTGCGCGCAAACGTGGCCCACTGTATTATTAGCAGACTGGGAAGCGCAGCGCTGGCATGTGGTGGCACCCCATGGCAAGAAACGCATCTTGTACTAATTCCCCTCTATATTTATGCCGGCTGTTGCACAATTTCGTGCTATCTGCTGTTCGACGTCACACAACAGGCACCGGCGATTCTGAAGAGTGAGCACTGGCCTCTGTATTAAAGCAGGGCGCATGAAAAAAAGGGAAAACTGGCGCTCAGCTTCTAAGCTTTTTGCCGCACGCGAATGAAAAGTTTTGCTTAGTTGTATGTTCGCATAACAGTGTCAGTAATTGCTAGAATCTGGTTTCTCATCAAGGCCCGTTAGTGGTTTATAACCCCTTTATCATATGTATGCACATACATTATGTGCCAGTAATGAAGCAACCTTTGGCGTGCCGTTTCGCATGCATGCATACATATACTGTAATCGTGTGCAACAGAGTGGTGGTCATCCTTAACTTCCTCTAATAGAGCGAGAATCTTAAGCAGCCATATTTCCGGCCCTTTCTTTGTGTAAGACGTACCGGTGAGCTGATTGCTTAGTCGTGATAGTTTATGGCATAGCGTCTCAGGAACAAGGACAACGCAGAAGCTTGAAAAAAAAATACGTTCCTTGTGTTTTAATCCTGATGCTTCTGCATCGTCTTAACAAAGCGCGATGCTATACGCCGTGAGGCCCCTATGAAAGATTCTTGATCACGAGGTGTTGCCAGAGCCAATGTTTCGACAAGTGGTCATGTCTTATTCAAGACAGGTTGCTGCCAAGAAACGTTTCTGCCTGGGAGAAGAATGAGGTTTACGGGCTCCAGTGCTCGAGGCTTTGGCTCTAGTGACAGTCCACATTCCAAGGTTTTTCATCTTTTCAAGCTTGTGTATTATCCTGATTTCGTGTTTTATGATACCCTCAAATTATTCGATAGGGTGAACCTCACGTCAGTCGAAAGCCGCATAGAGATTTCACATGAACCCTTTGTATATGGTTTCGTCACACAATATCCGTGTATGGCATTTTATAAGGATAATAGAGTTCGTTTCAGAACACTTGCTCCGCATTTTTACATGGAAACTTCATGAGTGATGGTCTGAATGCCGGCGTGACATACAACAATGCATAAGTTGAAAGCGGTATGTACAGCACAGTGAAAACGCGGCTTTCTACACGGGTTGTCAAAGTGGCACCGAGGCCTCATGACAAGTATCGCTTAAAATGATGATGTATGATATATTTTACCATGTACCATTCATTGTGCCTAAAACGCACTTTTTTTCAAAAACATTTGCCATAGATAAGTAAACTCACATCTATCCAACTCACGCACCTTAATCAGCCATAACACCACAAGCCCAACAGGTAAGAAATTAAGATGTGCAATGCTTCACGATGAGGACAGAAGATGCACAGTTTAGTTGTCATAATTCGTTGAGACAAAATGAGGTAACGATCTGAGTACATCCTACGACAAAAGGCTGACAAGTGGGTGAAAGCACAGATATGGTGTTTCAGTATAGAAGAAATGTTGCTCAAAACATGGTTCTGTGCCCTAGTTGTATCATAATAAAAAATAAGCAAAAATCGTTTTTAATTGTTCTCTGTCCGGTTTTATTCACAGCCGGTGTTCCCGTATTTGTTGACCAAATGAATAAAGTCACCGATCAACGAATATTACGAGAAAGAATGAGAGAGCGGGTGCTATTATTCCTTCCTCGCTGAAATTCGGCCATAGATGTCCTTGCACCTGTGGTTCCGGCAGTTCTCTGCACAGAGGGCTCCGTATACGTTGGGCCGTTAATTTTACCCGTACCCCTGACGTATAGTGGCCGGTGGGCGCACCCGACACGATGAATATCGCGCAGGTGTCCAGGTATGTATTCACAAGTTTCGTTGCCTATAAGGGGCGCAGTGGGCGATTCAATAAAGTGCTCACTGAGAGTATCAGAGTGCCTCTTTCACCAGACGCCTAGTGCGTCTTTCGCAAACACTTACGTCTTTCTCTCGGTTTCACAAACATTACGTCTTTTCACTCGGCGTCTTTGACAAGACGCTGCAGTGCGTCTTTCACAAGCAGTTACGTCTTTCAAAGCATATGGGATGGCCTAAGCTGCTCGTTCCCATTGCGCTCTCTACAACTGTGCAGCTTGAGCTCAACCTAGTGATGGCATAGTGGGTGCTGCCCAAGATGTAAACATATGCGTTTCTGACGAGTCCAGATGTAACAGTCACCAAAACTGGGGCTTAACGCCAGCAAAAATCAGATATTAGAGAGTTTGAGAATTGAGGGCCCAGGACAATGGGTCTCCAAGCAGCGTTGCGTAGGTTCCTCTTGCGTTCGGAGGATGAGCATAGTTTGAGAACGGGGTCAAAAGCAGGCTACGTTGAGTAAAACGCACGGGGCGCCACCTGAGACCAAATTAAAAATTATGTGAGACGCGGGCCATACGGCACAGTGGCTCGCGCTGCATCTGTTTCGTCTCGCTGGCGACCCAAGACGCCTTGGTGGCCCAGTATTGCTCAACATGAACGCAAGGGCTCAAGATTGGCTTGGGTTCTGTGCATGCGCCCTAGCGCGTCGCAAGCTTCTTGGGTCCCAAGCTCTTTGGGGCTCCATTTTTCTAACGCTCTATTATCGTTTTCTTACCTACATTGCTCCAGAAGTAGTCGGTGCTGACAAAGTGCGCGCTGCACACTTTCATCAGCGATGTGACCGACTTGCCGTTTCTCAACTGCACTATTCATCCCTTTTTCCTCGCTGCATCTACTAAAAAGGAATGGAGGCCGACTCTCGTTGATGCTCTGTTTGTACACTGCGGCACGCAGCACACGCAGTTGCTTTTAAAGCCTTTACATTTAGGCATTTCGTGGCCGCGATGACGACTCGAACAACACAAAGCAAATGCACCCAGGAACACTGCCACCCCGCAGACCCACACTCTTTGAATAAATTCCGCCGGGGGCCACGGGGCGGCGTACGAAACCTGCGAATAGTAACGACAAAATGCTCCCTCCCACTTCCCTGGACGGCGCAAGACTACAGCCTGCAAATGTCGCCACGTTCGCACTCAGATCCGGCGGCGATAAAGCAGCTGCCCGTAGTCGCTGCCGCAGACTCCGGGACAGCGTGCGCTATGCTGTCGAGCACTAGGACACCGCCGGTGGTCCTGGCGGGCTGCTGTAGATGCGCCATGCATTCAGGACTGGCCTCCGCCTTGCGGCTCTTGCGGTAGTCGTTCAGTGCCCTGAACAGGATCTTCTCGACGTTGATGAACGGCGTCTCGCACGTGACGCAGCCCACAAAGGCAGCCATGTAGCACGCCAGCAGGTGCGCGAAGTAGACATAGACCTGCGTCCAGGTGAAATAATGCAAACACGCCCGTTATGACAATAAACTTTGTAGCGCCCGCTATTAAAACTCTAGTGCCGCCCTCTGCTGCTCGTATTTTATCTCAATTGTCGCCTTGTGTGGCGATCATCGTCGTTTGAAGCTGGCGTGGTACAGAAACACACACATTCATATGGGTAATCATTTGTCTCAATGTGAACTGACCTTGTGTGTGGAATGTGCACATATGAATGCCCCGCCGCGGTGGTCTAGTAGTTGAGGTACTCGGCTGCTGACCCGCAGGTCGCCGGATCAAATCCCGGCTGTGGCGGCTGCATTTTCGATAGAGGCGCAAATGCTGTAGGCTCATGTGCTCAGATTTGGGTGCACCTTAAAGAACCCCAGGTGGTCGAAATTTCCGGAGCCCTCCACTGCGGCGTCACTCATAATCATATTGTGGTTTCGGGACGTTAAAACCAACATATAGATTGTGATTATATGAACCTATTAGCTGCATCTGAACGGACCTGTGATGTTTAGCTATTGTGTACTTTCACATCGTATGTTGTACTGTCTTGCATTTTGTGCCTTATGGTTTATCTAATGGCATACCTTGTCTACTAAGAGAAAAAAAGCAGCCGGTGCCACCATAATGGCACCAACCTCTTCTATTTCATCATTGTATTAAAGAAAACCTACATTCTGGAGGGCCTACCATAAACCAGTCATCATGAACGTATCACAAGCGTTTAATTGTAACTTGAATTAAAATGTCATTGTTACTGATAACAAGTATTAATACAAAGCTTTAAATCAACTGAATATGATAACAAAATACGCGTATATGCGTGGTATAGCTGTAGCTCATTGAAACACTCACATATACTCTAGTGAGAAATACAAAAACAGAAGAGAGCTAATAAAGGAGAGGCTTAACTGCCCAAAACTCTTTCTAGTATTCTGAGTGATATATATGGCACGGCCGCTATATACGTGCGTATGGCATATTTATTACGAATGTGTCTTCCAAATGCAATTATGCCATGTAGATAATGTCTGAATCATTAGCAAAGGCGTGCGACACGTGTGCTACTACTGCAGCTCTCGAGAATGGCTGCTTCCCCTGGCTGAAAACTTCGTATACTTCGGGCACTGCCTTAGCGTGGTATCAGACGGCCGATTTTGGAGTCGTTAGTATACTCTTTAAAACCTACATTTTGTCAACGTGTTGACGTTGTAGAGCCTCAGCCGAACTTCTAAGGAGTCTGTCAATTATGGCCACATTACGTGTTTGTTAGATGTTGCTTTCTTTGCAAGATGCCCCTCAACATTATCTGAGCTTTGCCACCAAGCTCAGCTTATTTTTTTTTTTGTGTGTGTAACCATTAGATTATTTTGTACCGTATTCAACAGTGATAAAATGAGTGAAACTTTTTCACCGTTTTTTTTATACTACAGTAAATTCGGGCTTGTGCGTGGGGCACATTGTGACTATATAATTAATAATGTGTCTATTAGTGACTGCATACACTAACGATGAGCCTTATTGGTTCAATTCCAGATCATTTTCAGGAGACAAATTTGCAATACACCAGCGGTGATTTAGATCATGTTTTCTTGTCTAGATTCCTTGCACGCAGTTGCAAGGCCAAAAGGACGTATACATGTTCTGTACTATGGAGCATGGGGAAAATGCTGTATTGTTCCTTCATGTGCTGTTTTCCTCCTGATTTTTTGAAAATGGCTGGCTACTTCATGTATGCTGGCGAGCTTTTTCAGGTGTGTTATAAAACTGCTTCATACCTCGTGCAATACTTTATTTCATATGCCATATTTCAAAGCTGTAGAGAGCCTGGAAACATCATTATTGTAATGCAAGCAATCAATCCATCAAACAACTATTCACAATCAATCGCAATATATCAAAAGAACAAACAAGAAAAGTGTAAGAATCACATATTGGCAGCGCAAAACTAACGGGATGCAAAATGAGGAAACAAGCAAGCGTAGACTGAAAGTTTATTTATTAACAGAAGATAATATATACTATAAAACACTAAGGGAAAGGAAAAGTACACGAGGGAAGGTTCCACCGTGATCAAGCGTTGTTCGGAAGTGAGATTTCACAATGCAAAGGGAATACAGAAGGCCAGTTGATACCACTATCAATATTATTTTCTATGAAAAATGTTTCGGGGATCTCCCTAATTTTTTTGTATAATACAGACGAGCGCGAAAATTCAGGTACGCAACCAAACTTGATGCGATGGGCGGACAAGTGAAAACCCGGGGCCGACTTCAGCCCATTGTAGTGTACTGGACGACACTAGATCACGATGGAACCTTCTCTCTGGTATTTCTCTTTCTCTTGGTGTTTTCATAGTATACATTATATTCGATGAATAAATCAAGTTTTGGTCTGCACCCGTTTGTCTCCTTCTTTTGCGTTTGCGCTGCCTGTATATCAGTATGGATCTATACCACCTAGGCTGCCTTTCAATCCTTCTGCAAAGTGTAGGAAGAACAAATTAGATACAAAAGACATGCGATCTGCATCAGTGAATGATATCTTAACGAATATTGAATTAATTGATTGATATGAAATATATATTAATTGATATGTGTGGTTTAACATCCCAAAACAACTATATGGTTATGAGAAACACCGTAGTGGAGGACTCCGGAAATGTCGACCACCTGGGATTCTTTATCGTGCACCCAAATCTGAGCACATGGGCCTACAGCATCGTCGCCTCTATTAAAAATGCAGCCGCCACAGCCGGGAATCAATCCCGCAACCTGCGGGTCAGCAGCCGAGTACCTTAGCCACTAGACCAGTGTGATTTTTTTCTTTTTTATTACACTAGAGATAACTGCGGTGGGGCGCTTCTTAATGCGTAGTAGCATAAAATTTTTCTTAGGTTCCTTCAGTTTCTGAAGTATATTAGTTCTACCTGAATGTTTTTCTTTACCTAATTACATTTCTGAACGGAAAAAAAATAAATTAATTTCTTCAGTATTTCATATACTGAGAGTTCCAGCTTAAATTAGAGAAAAATTGTAAAAAATTGCCTGTGGCATATACATATATACCATAAATTTACTCACTGAACTAAAAAATTTGAAGAGGCTATTACTATTAATCAATTCTGTAATTTAAATTCAATGACGACCAGCATCTTTCTAATTTTCTTTATCGTTAATGACTTTGGCTCACATATTCTAATTTAGTGAACAGAGCCATTAGTACTACTAGGCTCATTCACTCGCAACAAAAATTGAAACTAGCACCTCACTTGAGATAATCAAATTTGCACATAAGAAAAACTAGTTTTACGCAACCTATTTTTTACAAGACGCCTTTTCGTGCGTACAATCTCCAACATTACTTGAATACCAAGGCATCAAGTTAGAAGCTTGGAAACCTAAATATTGAAATTGATGTTTTCCTCAGAAGTCATTCCAATTGGATATTACTTTCATGGTAGCCGGCTGCCATTTTAACGCAATAACGTCGAAGAGCTCGCTTCACTGAAATTCTGGTGTCGATGTCGTTGGTTGTGAGCGAAAAATAGGCATCTTGTGCGAGGTCTAAAAGTCTAGAAAGATGCAAATAAAATAAATAATATAAAATTTAGGTTTCTGTGAAGAATTGAACCCAAATCTTTTCATGGAAAGCAGGTGTTCTACCACAGAGCCATGGGTATTTTTTTTTCTTTTACATGGTAGTTATTGCAAATGTTACGTATATAGCGTACAAATTACCTAAGCGTTCTTCTACAAATCTACAATAGGCATTACAAAACAATACCATGCAACACTGCGTCTAAAAGAGTATTTGAGCCGCACACTTCATAAGCTCTGGATAAAGGTCTGCTTAAAAATACAGGGAAAATCACTTCCTTTGCTTGAAAATGCAGTGAAAGTAACTTGCATGCTTTACTGACACACGCGTCCTGTATACAGGTTTCACAATTCAACATGTATATTGCTGTATTAATGCGTGGTATACAAGCTTACACTGCGATCGGACGTCAGAAGGTACATGTGATTATCATCACTTAATGACTCAAAGCGGGCCACCCACTACAAAAGGCACGCACGTTATTTCGCCTTTTCCATTAAGGCCACGTAGTTTGTGTGCATAGCAAGTTCGAAAAGATTTCATGTGCCCGACTGGCCGTTGTTTAAAGCATGCTACCCATTACATTGAATGCAGCCGTGTGTAGAAGATCACTGTCACAAGCCACTTTGAACTCAGCACGAACTAAGGACAAGATATTGCTACCCTGTTCAACTCTTAAAGGCGTAACTGAAGGATGCCCCAATTTTTAAAATTAAAATTGAACAACCTGCAGACTTAACGAGAAAATGACATTAGCTTGGGCATGTGGGTATTCTTTTTTGTCAGACGCACATTTTTTTCTATATAAATGGTCGAAATTTCTTGTTCTTTTAACAACATTATGGGGTGTTTTAGGTGACAGGATCACGATGTGATTATGAGACACGCCGTAGTGTAGGAAACTCTGACCATCTGGTGTTGCTTAGCGTGCATGCACTGACATCGCCCAGTGCATGGGCCTCTAGTATATTTCACCCCAACCCAGGGCCGATTTCACGAAGCATTTTAGAAGAGATAATTATCCGGTCACACAACATGCCCGACATAAAGACTGGCTGGTGGCTGCTCTTACCAGGAGCTTAAGCGCGTAAGTGGTGATCGTGCTGAAGGTTGTGTTAGCCAGGCGTCCTCTACAGAAAATCGTTCCATCTGGGCGTCCCTTGTCTTATGATTACATGTGTTAAACAAAACATTGTTTGACAGTCGTTCCAGTATTACTCTTTCAGATCATTTTAGGAACAGTATACCTACACACGGCTTTGAAAGTTCTTTCTTTAGGGGTATACGCTAATACGATTTTGGCCATCACCACGGCTACCAGATGAGGTGCGCGCATTTCACTCCTTTTATGAGACACTTTCAGAAGAAGCAATAAGCTTTTCTTGTGTGCCACTCTCTTATCGGCGACGTCCAAGTTGGACATCTGATGGCGATTTTTTCTATCAAAGTGACATGTCTTTCAAGTGCCTCTGAACATCCACACATGGTAACTGGTTTTATTTTACGTGCGGTACATTGAAAACAGTGTTAGCCCATATTTTGGAGTACGAATATTTGAAAAAAGAGCATGGCAGTAAAAGGAAAAAAACAAGGCTTTGAAAGCAGAAGTAGCCGCTCGACACTCCGCACCACAGTGCGCCAGGCGGTGAGCGCAGCCTTGGTGTATACGCACCACCATGAATTGGGTGACGTAGATGGCGTTCATGGTGTGCGCTGCGTACATGAACATCAGTGGTGGGTGCAGCAGGTAAACCATGAAGGTCATCTTGCTGAGGGGCACGAACGCCTTCCACGACAGCAGTGTGTCCACGAACCCTGCGAGTCGATCGGGGCAGATACGTTGGCTGCCACAGGAACGCGGAAAGACAACATCGCGATACGACGACGTCCCCGCATTTTGTCCGTTCGTCCATTTGCGCTCTGCTGCGCTAAAGTGACGTCATAAGGGCACAAGCAAAAGACGAGAGAAAGTCATTTCACGGTTCAGGCCAGATTGGCTATACTGTGGAAAGGTTACGGCATTAATGACGTGCGCTGGGAAACATGTTTATCTTGTTTTTCCTTTTTTTTTTGGGGGGGGGGGGGGGGGGGGGGCGGCGAAGGTCCCGGGAGGTTTCATCAATGTCAGCAACCTTTATGGCGCCAGCTATTATGAACGCTCTATAGAGTGAATTCAGCAGAAAACAATAATGCAATCTGGTAGCTTCTGGGCACAAAGACGACGTAGTCGAAAGTGGAACGGAAGCCCGTGTGTAGTCGAATATACATGACAACGATTGATCACGGACACCGACCACCATAGTTTACCAAATGCAAAGGCCTTTTGGCTCCCGCATGGCAGACTTGTTTATAATGCGGGTGAAGGTGGGAATGGTCCTGCTTCGCACTATAAGAGGTCATGTAGGCAATGAACGTACGCGTGCGTAAAGTTGCCGTCACTGCGATTAAGTGTGTGCCCAGTAGTATGGATTGCCAGATAATAGATATAGTCGGGAAGTCTACTTCTTTTCTCTCTCCGTTACATTTGACTTACAGCCCTATATTTCATGGGAAATTGCATCTGCGTGTTCGGCCAGCACGTTTCATGACAAGCACTTTTTTCTTACATCGTTCATGTGCTGCCTGACTCTTTGCTAAAAAGTGTGTCACTTGCCGAATGTCTTCAACGTAGTGTTTGTTAAGTTAAAAAAAAACCCCTTAAGTTAAGAACAGCCAAGGACGTCGAGTATTTGGATACGCGGAATACGCCCCGTTTTTGACATACTCGTCTGCAGAATCTGCACCTATAATTTCGAATGAAATTATTTTAGCTTTGGAAGGTTGAGCTATTTCTGTATTCATCACACGTTTGAACAGAGAAATAATGACAAAAGTTGATAATACAGCTGAAGTTCAAAGCAAAATGTGCGCCCGCCGGAGAAATGAAGAGGTGAGATAACAGGAACACTTCGGATATTTTTTAACGTTCTTGAACTTGAGTAAAAATTGCGCTTGTATAGTATATCATCAAATCACAACACACATCGTTATTAGTTGGGCCAGGAAGCTCCAATTAGTTCTTTTTCGCGCATTCGAAATCACAGCCGGGTCATTTTGACCACATAAAGACTTCGAATAGTCTTTTCAGAAGCTAATGACACTTGCCGAAGTGTTCTTCAGAGTATACAACCACCGCCACCAGCAATTCCTTCTATTATGATGTCCTACGTGTTGCTTTATGAATGCGTCATACCATTGCGGTCACACCATTCTTACATTACAAGGAAGCCCATTAAAGTTCTCAAACTGATTACCTCACATCACATGGTTCACGAATGGTTGGAGGCAAAAGAGAATAGCGGAAGAACAGGGTGAATCACCTCCATGGCCAGAAACACATGCGAACGTGACCCAGGCGACGCACAGTGTCCAAGCGGGGCGGCTGGTGGCCCCGTATAGCACGCTGAGAAAGGGGCCAGGAGGTGAATGGGCGTTCCATTCGTAAACGCCGTACACGATGGTCAGTCCCGTGGTCACTGAAGACAGCCACCCCACCAGCTGTATCCGCTGCGAGTGCACAAATGAAATGCCAGTCTGTTACATGTGTTCATTGCCTTCGCCGTTGTGCCTGATCTGCGGGAACCTCGAGACTCCGCAAATGTTGCTGCAGAAACCGGTAGCAGGTTACAAGCTAAGGAAAAAAATAATTTTAGACCACAATTACCACCATACAACATGAAAAATGCTTGCACAAATGTCCCAGCCAATCGCGTGCATCAATGTTCATGTTCGTTTAACATTGCGCCGCTTTCGATATCAGAGCTTTATCATACAGGCATACGTTTCTATAGGAAATTTTATACACAAAACGTGGTATTCCCGACGAAATTCGTCACATAGTAAGCCAGGCATAATATTTTAGGCACAAATGATGACTTTTAATTTTACGATAGGCCAAGTATTTACACTGGCTGATAGAAAGTGCTTGCATTTCACACGAAAACTAACTGGTGCGGCCCTCTTGCAGAGGGGGAGTACCAGTGTACCGTGGTTTTGTGGCTAAAGCTCCTATTTAGTCCTGCGTGGGAACCGACTACACATATCATAGTATTTTACAGTAAAATTGTTTTTTTTCATATAGCCATCATAGGAATCCACACTTCAATAACTCATTTGTTATAATTAATTAATTAATTAATTAATTAATTAATGGTGTTCAGTGAGACAGCTTTAGTATTATCAAAATACGCAAGTATAATGTTTCATCAAAGTACAGCTTAACGGTAAACCCGCCTTTAATAAGTGTGTACGATGACCTAAACTTTGTTTTGTGCATCTGAATACGCCTTACAGCCTCTAGTGGGCACTAAAAATACGGTTTACAATAGTGCGGCATCTCTCTGATGTTGAGCTGGGAACTTGGACCTTTCATAAATCGTGGTAATGCATCGCGGGCAGCAAAAACGGTTAGTCGTCCTCCGCAAAACTGCCCCTACTGGACATATTGGTTTCCCGTTATTTTGCATTTTTTATACATTGATTGCCTCTGCGTTTATTATATATGCGAACAGGTATTTTCGTGGGTTGACCATGCCATTTGGAGAAGCATGCCGAGTGTAACTTGCCGGGAAACATAATCGGTATCGGTTATTATTATTGAAGCAACTAGAAACTTCGATTGCACTATACAGAGAAGTTGAAGGAGATGCAAAGCTCAAAGCCACTCCTGGCCGAGCGCACCAAGAGATGGTGTGCATGCAGCGCCGCTTACCCTGCTCATTTTGACCTGCCTGTACTTGTAGATGAGGTATCCGAGGCACAGGCCAACGGCGAAGGATGGGAAGTGTGTGTACGGACGGAATGCGATGTCGTTCAGGAATGCGTTCAGGTTTCTGCAAGTAAAAAGTTATAAAAATTCTCAACACCACTCTCCAGTCTAAGTTGTGTTTTAAACGTTTATAAGATGCCCTGGAAACTGCTAGCTGGCTACAGGTTTACGAGGCTTGTTCGTTGGCTATATTTTGTCGCAAGTTTTGTATACGTGCACCATTTATTAGTTCTTATTCGTAGCAATAGACATTACATTTTTTGCTCTTTAATGGTAGAGTTTGCCTTAGATGTTGTGAATTCGAAGAAGAAAACCGAAGTTTTTCGGTCATAGTTACATGCACTGTTGATTCCCACAGCACTTGTTTTGTGAAAACCGGTCATTGAAGAAGACAAACAAATGCAACACTGATAGTCACTTGAAAATTCTGAAGCCTGGTCTTCAAAGAAAGAACAGAAATTAATCACGGGGAAAGGCACACAACCACTCTATCTCAAGCGATCGTCTATAGAGGGTATCGGTGTTTGTGAACTAACTGGCTCGGGCCGAACGGCCTACACCAGAAGTCTTCTGGTGCACCACTTCCGCTAATGTTTTTTTTTTCAATGGTCTCAACGGTGTTTTCGTGGTGCGTTTGAGTTTGCTGCTTTATTATTTCTGGCAATTTTTTTAGGGTGTGTATAGAGCAACGTCTAGCGGCTACACGAAGGGGCTCGACGTAGCGCAAGAGAGCTACAGGTGCGGCCACTGCTGCAGGTAACACGGCTCGCGTGGCCGACGGCCGCCACGCGAATTATCCGTCGTGACGTTCCAATGAGCGTGACCTCCGGCTTCGTGTTACCTCTAACAGTGGCCACGCAAATACAAACAGAAAACACATGAACTTCATATGTTAGTGAACTTAATTGGGCCAGTTGGTTCTGCATGTCGACGATGTGCGTGCGCTTTGAAGACGCAGAGAGAGAATTGAGCCGGGACACACCTGTCTTTTCCCTGTCCGCGTCTTCAAAGCGCTTCCATATCACCGACATGCTGGAGAACAGTTGCCTGATTCATAGTGAAGTTGTACAATTCAGCTTTTCGATTAGAACTGAAAGCCCGCCTCCTGTCGAACCACGAACATATGTGTGTTTTCGTCTAAGCACACAACCTCAGAATAAAACGCCCATTTCTGCGCCTGTGTCACATCGGGCACCTGTTATAGAGATCAGCGGTGGTCGGAGTCGCTCATGATACTAAGTGTTCGGGTGACTGAGAAATGATAAAATGTACTGTTTACGTGAAGTGCGGTTGAGTCACGCGAACTATTATGGTTTACTCATGAGTAAGCTATTCATGAATCAAACTTTCATGTTGAACCCACCTATTAACCTACAGTCCCTATTCACACCCAAAAGATAAATTAGCTAGAATACGGCGATGTTCATTAGTGACAGAAAGACAGGTTATCAGTCATTTGCTCGCACTAATGAGAGCCCACTAAGCGGCGTTCTTTTCAGTAAAATCATACGCAGCGACAAAAAAACGTGGACACGACGACGTACACTGTGCGGCGATTTAGGTTGATCACGGCTACTTTGTGTCCCATGTTGTTTCGCACAGTACATATCATTGATGCCGCTCAAACTATACTAGAAACACCTTCGCGATGGACTGTCAGTGTTGGGTTCATCTTTTGCTACTCAGTTCAGGCGTCAGTAAACATATCTGCCACGGGTGGCAGACGACAGTGACAGATGCGTTCCCGGTAAGTGGGGGCCTTCGACTTTGGTCTAACGTCTGAGTATCACCTCTGAGTCATTAGTCTGCACTGTGCTGTACGTTGCCTTTAATGAAGTGGGCAGTACAAACCTACACGCTCTTATTGGGAATCCAGTTTTCTAGCGTAATCGGTGCAATGCAGGCGCACTTTATATCGTCATCGGCCGGAAAACAGAACGTGTTGGCTAGCATATGAAATTAGTTAGGGCTTGCTGACTGCATCCTGTCTTGACACAGCTGTGCTCTAGTGGCGAGCGCTTCATTGGAAAAACTTTATCCGCATAAAGCATCGGAACACAAGCAGCCGCGGAGAGCAAGAAGGGCTAAAAGTATGCAAAAAGACAAGCCATACAATCAGTTTCCAAGGATAGATATCCGGTGAACGCACAATGTTGCCAGAGACTTGCAGGCGCTGGCGAAACCGTCTGTACAAATTCGCTTCTCGCTGCTGCTCGCACGCTGTCTTGCTGTATATGCCTGTTCGTCGGCTGCGTTGCTCGGAAGCTGCACCGCGTGGCTAGTCATGCGAATGTTTCAGAGCTAGCGCTGCCGGTACAACGTCAATTATGTTTCCCGGTGTCAAGGCCGGAAATTAAAATAACAATAAAACAAATGCATCTCCACTAGTGTGAAACCTGAGCGATTGCGCATAGCACGGCGACGCAGCGATTACCGCTCGTAGAATTCTCTCTATTCTGGTTACCAAAGCGTCGATGAGGTTAATGTTTGAAGTTATCTTGTAGGATTTCCCCGGCACAAGCAGAATCTTGTTAGTGAGATTAGCCAAAGCGGTGTGCCGCGTGGGCGCTACTTTTTGATACATGTCGACTGCAACGTCTGAGGTATGCGTCGTCTGCGACTACTTCCACTAGGTCATTTCCCTTATCGTTATGCTTAGTCGCTATGCGACCAAGCACCAGCGAAGTGCAGGCGCGAATAATGGTGCGCTCCGCGAGGTGATGGCGACCTCTTTTATTCGGCTCAGGAGTCAACCTCATTTGTCCGCAACATTTTTATCAATCTTAAGTTAATTACTATGATTACTCATTGGTTATTGTGGTTCGTTATATTATTTTAGACCTTTTTCGTTTGTGTAAACCCGGTTTGAGCATTGCTAGCCATGTTGTAATTCTGAATTGAGGGCTTGATTGTGAAAGTGACTTTGAGACGCGAGATTTATGTATGCACTGAAAGCTCAACCCATAAAGTTCTTCACACTTAAAAGATTAAGTGTGGCTGGAAATGAAACACTGGTTGCAAAAAATAACTAAATAAAACAATTCCAGCAGCCAGAAATTTCCACGGACTAAGTCATGCGCATTGAGCTATTCCCAATAATGAATGCATGAACATTTCGCAGAATACTAGGAGTGAAAGCAGAAACAGAACAGTGCCCGAAGCTCGAATGAAGCAGTGCCGTCTCCTGACATGTTTTTTTCTTCCACGGTGATACCGATAGTAACTACACGATAAAAAGACATCAGGAATCTCTAAAGACGCTGACGGAAATATAGTAGTACCGTTAAAATCAGTAGTACTATTCAATGCTGTGGCTGGTAATTAGGTAGGTGATTATGATTAAGTAATATGAAGAAAATATGATTTCCCATTGACGCTGAGAAAATATTGTGTTTCTTGCAGGTGTGCGGAAGATTCGCAAGGAAGAGAGACAGTATTATGTGATGTATGATAAGACATCACATCATGATGAGGTATAAAATGGCAGCAGAAAACATAGGACCGAGTTGATTGGTGGAAGAAGAGAAAGGCCTTTGTCCTGCAGTGTATGCAGCCAGGCTGATGATGATGATGCTCCATACTAATTAGATTAGCTCAGGTCAAAGAGATGCCGGCCCGGTCTTCTAAGCTAACCCCACCTGTGGCAGCATCATCGCCACAACTACCGCCTAGGTAGGCCAAATAATTGTTCTGTTATGCAGCAGCCGTAATAATGGCCCGAAATCTCGGCTCTTATTGCGCTAAAACTGTTTTTAGAACAGGTATCAACAAATCATGCGTTAACAATGAAATCGCCAGGGTAATGAAAACAGTTGTTACGGTCGAAAAGCTTCCTTAGTTATGCCCCAGAGCCTTGCAAAAGTGCCACATGAAGTGGATTAAACTATCAATTGAGATAGTGTGTTCGAGACAAAAGGAATGGTTCCGAAAGTTTTCTCTCTGTAGCATAATTTAAGACACCGCCTCATCATAGAAATTTAGGGAAAAGGCTACGCTATAGAACAAAACTTCAAAAATGAACACAAACTACCTACAGAAGCTTTGCACTTTGTACAATCCTATAGGCTGCAAGCTCCAAGCAAGGACTTTTCGGCAACGAACATCATCAATAATAATTCTAGGAATCGGAAACGCTTAAGCTTTGCCTTTAAGAGTTAAACGCGATAGCGATATTCTGTCCCTGAGTGCGTGCTTCACCCACTTGGTGCATACTTTTTATTGTATGATAGTACAAAAGAAGTTTAAATTACTGATTACTGCACTGTAGCCTATGAAGTTGAAAGTGGCTTCTGAGGGAAGCTTTCGCATATACTGCATTCTGAGTAATGCGTAGCATGCTTTAAACCACGAGCAAGTATGCGTGGAAAATGTTTTAGAACTTGCTATGCACCCACAACGCGGTCTAAATGGAATACGCGCAGTAAAGTTTGTGAGTTTTGTAGGGGGTGACCGGCTTTGAACCACAAAGTAGTTATGATGATCAAATGTTCTGACGCCAGATGGCACTGTATGTTTGCACCACGCTATATAACTGCGATATTACAAGTTGTAGTGCGAAGCTTGTATACAGGACACGCGTGTTTGTAAAACGTGAATGTTATTTTCACCGCATTTCCAAGCAGACGCGTGGCTGGGTGGTAGAACCCCTGCTTGCCGCGAAAACGGCCGGGCTTTGATCTTCACTAGGGCACAGAACTGTTTATTTTTATTATTTTATTTGTAACTTTCTCTTTTTTTCGGTTAAAAACAAGATGATGATTTTCTCTCACAACTAATGACGCCCACACCGGCACCGGAATTACAGTTAAACCAGCTGTTCAACGCTGTCTCGTTAAAATCTCACGCATAGGTAACATGTTACATCAAGGTCATCTTTCCAGAGGCGATGCTTATCGTTAAGACGGCAGATTTTACTTGTGTACTTTGTAGATTATCACCGCAGGCATGCCATAGTCGTTGACGCCCCAGCCCCTCAAAAAAACAAAAACATCAAAAGGGGGATCATATGCGAGCCAGTTTTGCAGGGACGCGGAGTTTTGTCCCCGTTGTGCAAAGCCACGCAGAGTAGAGTCATGCTGGGCAGCAGCCCGGAAACGGCACAATTGTCCAGAAAGAGAAAGAATTAGGATAAATGAAACGCAGGGAGGTTAGCAAGAGCTAGGCCCGGTAGGCTACTACCCACTGGGAAAGGGGGTCATGGGAATGCTAGTTAGAGAGGAGAGCAACAGTAACTTTTCTCTCCTCCCCCTAAAAAAATGAATAGAGTAAAACTGTCACAGGCCACAAGGATTGATAAACATGCTGGCTGTTCGTACATTAAAAGTGGAGCGCATTCAAACAGACAGTACTGAATGGTTCAGAACACAGATACAGTCAGAAAGTGATGGTTGCTTTCTTGTCTTCAACAGAGGTCAAAAAAAAAAAACACGGCCAAATCTGAGCCGTCACCGTGGATCTTTAGGCCAGCAAAAAGATGGAGTTCTCTTTCGCGAAAACCACCAGCGCCGCCAACAATATTACCACCCAACGCTGGTCAAGGAGGCACAAGTATGTTTACAAAAACGGCAGATGTCACTTGGTGCTCCTTACCAAAGTTCACACGCAAGATTTACGGGAGCATATTGCATCAACTGCTGATTATTTACGCGACGAATACCTACAAACCCACACGGTGTTGAGATCATTAGTGATAGTGATGCGCACGTTCCTGAACCGAATGGCAACAGCTCGAAGCGTACTGCAAGCTCTGAATGCCTTAGAATTAGTTGATTTGATTGATATGTGAGGTTTAACGTCTCAAAACCAGCATACGATTATGAGAGACGCCGTAGTGGAGGGCTCCGGAAATTTCGATCACCTGGGGTTCTTTAACGTGCGCCCAAATCTGAGCACACGGGCCTACAACATTCCCGCCTCCATCAGAAATGCAGCCGCCGCAGCCGGCATTTGATTTCGCGACCTGCGTGTCAGCAGCCGAGTACCTTAGCCACTAGATCACCGCGGCGGGGCTGCCTTAGAATTGGTATATACTTACTAGCCTTCAGCATGATAACGTATACGGGGCTTCCTATTCTGTTTGAAAGGCAACCGAGCTTTGTGACAGCGTGTGAACGCGTGACAAAAGCTGCTATGGCGGGGCACGCATCATTTGTTCTCTCTTCCATTATTATATTTTCTCATTTTTTCCGTTCCATTACTGAAGTGTCGGTCATCAAACCAGATACAACATCCTCGACCTGTTCGCATTCACTTTGCAATTCATCTGTTTCGTTCTGTCAATGAGAAATGTTTCGGAATAACCGTAACATAGGACGGGCAGATGAGCCATGTTTTCACAAGTCCCGATTATAGTTCAAATAACCGAGAAAAGGCCAAGATGTCATGAGGCAACTCAAAAACAAAGATTTTTAAGGGGAAAGCATTCATGCTTAAGCTGTAAACCGTCCATATGCAATATTTTTCGGATGTCCACCGTAAGACTCACTAAACTAGAGATTCCGATGAATGTCCTATTTGGTATTCATGATGGTGCAAAGAAATAGAAACACGACATGCATGTCCTTCAGATGAAGTCTTTTTGCCGGGATTAAAACTAACAAAGCGTGCGGCGTCATCTTGAATGCGTTTAAGCTTGCAGTATTATGCCAGCTTTAATGCACATATAACTACATTTACTCGGCAGAATTTAATATTTCACAGGCATATTCGCGGATTGAGTGATCAAATTCAAACAGAATTTTCTTCGTAATCATTCTTTGCCACTTAACATACGCCCTGAATAATTATTACTTTTTGCGCCATAACTTTATATTTGTTTTTGCGAGAAATTCTAGTGTAAGATATTTTTTTGTAAACATGGGGCCCAGATTCCTTACTTCTTCCGGAAGTGACTATTATGTTTGCTTGCTTAATATTCTGATTTGAAAACAGCTTAAATATTTGGACGCGACCACAGGATACAAAGAAGTAAAAGTCCTATTATCAACTGCTTATTCTTAAAAAACACATACCGCCACGTACCTTTCACGTATACTGTACTTTTGTTTTCCGCGCGTGAAAGCGGGACGGTGGCATATCACCAACGCGTGTCACGTACAAGCAGTAGCAAGCACAAACTCGACCTTGCGCAACGGTGTTGACTTAGACGCATAATTGAGACGTCAACCTCTCGAGGCGAAGTGTCAAGCTGTAGCTGCATGAGCGCTGTGTCAACTGTATTACACAAAGATTCTGCTTGTATCTGGCACACGTGGTCTTTCTTGAGGATGTGCCCTGGTGCTTTCGCATGGAAGTGGCGTATATAGTATGTGTTGAAACAAGCTTTTGCGTCGGTGGTTTTCTTTTAGGAATGAACATTATTCTAGTGGCAGCTCGTCCTTGTGGGCTCCTCGCAACCATGACCGAATTTCCTGCGCCATGTTTTTTGGCCAGGTCGCCTGTAGCAACAGTAAATTGCAACAACAGCAGTAAATTACAATGTGATTGCACATTGTAATGAAGCGCCTTCCGTCCCGATTCTCCTGAAGCTGTTGTCTAAAAAAATGTAGACCATAAAGCTAGATTATCGCCAGAAAAGAAGTACGTGACCGAAGGCTTACTCATCGTCCGGTATAGAAAAAAGAGCGACTGGCCCATAGTCGTAGGAGTATGTGACCAAGCCCGTTATGGCCATGCTGGCGAAGGCGAAGGCACCTATGAGGCCCAGGCCAACCGCTGGACGCCTGCATCATGAGTCAAAGACTAAGTCCTCACGAATGATGTATCCGCCAAAGGCAACACACTGAACTTACCTGTAGAGCGTGATAAAGAAGATGGGCGCAATTATGAAATACTGCATGTCACAGGACAAGTACCAGCCATGCGGAAGACACTGAAATACGCAAGCATAAATATCAGCCAAAGCGATGGATGAGTAGCGATAGGGCTGTTGCTACAGTGCATTGGACGGTAAAGTGTCGAGTATACGGCAAATTTGTTCTGCGAATTACCTTTACAGTCCACTGTGCTACTTCTCACATTGGATCGTATGCGATGGGATCGAATCATAGGCGAGTTAAATAAAATAGCGTTGTAAACGAAATGTCCATTAGAAGGTGATGTGCTTCCAAACACTTCAGAAGAAAAAGAAAGCTTTGGCTTTCATTCATTCATACAAAAAGTTCTGATAATAGCTACTTAGGATGGATAGAGAGGAATGGAGGAAGAACACCTGAAAATTGGTGTCAAATGTATTGGAAGCGCAAAAAAGGTCTATTTTTGAATAAATAATGTTCTTTTGACTTATTAAGAAAAATCAGTGAGCGTTCATTCCTGTAAGCTTTTAGTAGCACCGTGCTGGTGGCATCAGTGAACGCACCAAATGGAATGTAATAATAACTTATGGGGCTTTACGTGCCAAAAGAATCATGTGATTATGAGTGAAGACGTAGTAGTAACCTCCGGATACTTATTTAAACTACGAGGGGTTGTTTATTGTGCTCTGACTACTCCCTGCAAAGATGCCTATAGTAATCAGCATCCATCTAACTGCGACCGCCGACGTCTGGATCGAATCCACGTCCTTCAGGTTTGCAGCCGAACGCTGTAAGTACTTAGCCACTACAGAGGCACATTCAGTGTATTAAAGCACATTCCTCGTTTAGACTATCTACATATGAGTGACAACTGCATAAGCACGCACTTATCGATGCACTCAGCAATGCTTACAACTTCCTGGGTTTTCATCCAGGCGCTAATGTAAATGATGTTGGTCCACCAATAGCGTTTGCATCCTTCCGCGAAACGGTCCACTGTTTCATGCCAGAGCGGACCGCTCATCCAGGGTGGGCCAAGTATCAAGGTGAGAGACACCATCAAAAATGGCGGCGTCAGCCTGTAACAGAATAAATAGATAAATAAACTATTACATACATGCATAAATGCAGCATTCATGTGTGGTGGACCAGACCACCACTTCCACCACTGCGTATAGACAATAATGGAAGAACAGAAACACCTACAGGTGTTTCTCTTAGGATCAATACATCAGAAAACCTTCGCTCGTATTTTTCTCACTCAAACCTCACTCACCAGTTTTAACTATATGTTTCATATTTAGTATAACATACCTCGGCGAATTAAAACAGCTATCTTTTTATTTAATTGCGTTAGCACAAGCTAAAGGGAGACCGTTGATTTTTCATCTGTACACCTCATCTCTGAATATGAAAGCATTGTAACAAAAGTTTCGAAACTATGTTCACTTACTCACCATGAAAAATATATTTTTCATGGTCTGAGTAAGTATAATATTTCTGACCAATAGTCTTGAAGACACTAATAATGACAAAATCACATTTTCTCAAAATTTCTCTTTGTACAGAGAACACGTGTTTTGCAGGAACGGACACACATTGCGTGGTAGCCTATCACTGAAAACGCCGTTTTTTGCTAACGGTCGACGATTGCCGCTCGTTAGTAGAATAAATTGTCACGAATCGTTTGGGCATATATAAATAAATAAGTAACAATTGTCCAATCGCATGCAGCGCTGTTGCGTTATCGCTGCGCGTTTGTTGCAGCTAAAAAACTACCACGTGCTGCAATTTTGTTCGGAGCTTCGCTGAGAGCCGCTTTGCATAGACACAAACTGCTTCCTAAATGTGAGCTTCGCGCCCAAGTGCAAAGATATTTTTGTTCGTAATAACGATTTGTCATTGGCATCCTGCATCTCACTGCCCCTGCGACCTTGGGTATGATTGAAAATTTAGCTTTCGCTACGATTCCTCCCATTTCATCCGCTTAGCTCTCTCTTTTTATCCATCATTACTCGTCTGCGACTTTCGCAAGAGCCGTAGAAGAGTATAAACCACTCCGTCAGAGCTAGCCGACTAGAATGCTACGCTGCGGCATGGGAACGAAAGAAGTTACTTCCTGAATATTCAATAGCCAGTCACTTGAATGGTGATGTCGAACTAGATCACGAGCCAGGATTGTTGCTCTGCAGCCGCTTTGAAATGTGACGCATAGAGTGCTCGTCACGTGTCGAACTTTCTTAATATGACAAAATTTATTGAAAAGATCTATATATAAAAAATGTTCGCGCTGTTTTGTATCATACTATATTCCTGTTTCTGAATATTTAGAAGCTTTCTCGTTTCGTTGAAGCGTCGTCGTTTTATGAAGCTCTCCGATCCTCGCCTTCACGTTCAGGCACGCAGGAAAATTAGGCGTGCTCTTGTGCCATAGCTTCCGCGGAAACTTGCGCCTGACTTCTGCCACGAGTGTATTCCGGTGTCACGGAACACGCAACGCCGGGCGAATACTTTCGGCCGCCGACATCGGCCGATCCCGAAAGCAGTGCACTGGGTGAACCGAGTCGTTCTTCAAGGTCGAACTGAGTCAGGGCGCCTCTTACAGGGCAAGCAGCCACACCGTTTGCGTGATCGAGAGAGGAGCACTGAAGTTTGTATTTTTTTTTTGCTGTACAAGTGTCTTATGCCACCAGACGCGCGTGCCAAGCGTCTTGTGTACAGCGTCTACTGCTCCAAAGAGTTTTGATATAAATTTCGCCATCGAATACATAATTATGTTTGAACAGCCACCTGTAGAGATTATCACAGCGCTTCACCTTCCACCACATGTTTTTTCCCTCTACCGTAACATCATACCTTACAGTATCACCTAAACCCGTGCTTCTCCCGTGCGTGTGCATTTTTTCTTACCCCACCGGCAAGAAATTTGCTCAGCTTGAGAGGATGTTTGTCGGGCTGATCTCATGGAACGAACGCGGAGGGGTGGAGGGTGGTGGTGTCTCTAATCAGCTCGTTTTTACTTTTTTCTTCGCTCGTCGACCACTGCGGTGTCCCGCAACGGTGCGTTAAAGACAGCGATTCCTCAGAGAAGAAATGATAGATGCCAGAGCGATGATGTGCACGAGCCGAAAGAGTTCAACTACCTTATGCTGCCGCAACATATACATGAGAAGCGGGGGGGGGGGGGGGGTAGTTTTATTGGGAATGTTGTGTTGTAGTGTGCAGCGTTTACCTGATGTAGCGGTGAATGTAGTACATTAAAAAGTCAAATCTTCCTTTATCTTGTTGAAGCTTTCCATAGCAGACGAACATGAGAAGCAGTCCACTGAAAAAGAAAGCGAGCAGTTTGAAGATTTGGTTATTTACACCTCCTTTTTTTCGACTTTGCAAAGAACCCGTTTTTAGAAGATATTAATATTATAAAGGGGAGCTATATGAGTTTAGCTTTAAAAGTTTGCAAGGCAAAAAAAATTATTGATATGTAGCTCTAAAAAATAACTCTAAATTAAACATTTAGTGTAAAACGAATTATATTTTGTGCTACTGCGCATGGCACTCAGTCAGTTGGACTTTAGCAGAAGGTTCTTATGCCCAATCAGCACGGAGCCAAGCAAACAGGGAAGGCGTCATGGGCCGAGCGAGCCACGCTTCTTGCTAGTGATGATGATAACTGTGATACTAGATACCACATTTAGCTGAGGTAGTCTTCGTGAACATAAAGCTACGTTAATAGCTGGTTATCATATTAAAAGGTTCTTAAAGCAAGGCCTTCAAAAATAACAGAGCAATATTTCTTTATGTTTATCTCTGATGCGTTAAGGTGGACAATATGGCTATTAATTACCTTTGTTAAGCACCTTAACCTATCAATTATTTCGTGGTATTTCATAAGTTGAGTTAGAGGCACAGTTACGGACAACCGATACGCGGAAGAGAAATTACAAAGTGTAGTAAGTGACAACTCTAGAGCACAATCTCGCGTCGGTATTTATGTGATCCCAAAATATTGCTTGGGTTTCTCACTAAATGTGAAAGCCAAAATCTTGCTGACAGTGAATGTATACACGTGAATACACATTTTACTTAGCCCTAACTTGTTTTTATTTCACTTGAGCATGACAGTAGATCTACACGTGAACTATAGCTACGGGTAATGTTAGCAACCTTCGCTCACCTTAGAAGAAAGAAGGTGTCTACGGATAGCGAGGCGTTCAGTACCACTTGGAAGGCGACATCTTTTCCCAAGCCTTTGGCTCGGATAGCTCCCGCTGCAAATTTAGGGTTTGTTTGAACCTGATATACTGCCGACAAAAGAGGATCGAAGAACAAAAGGCGTGCGAAATAAAAGGAATGGTTTACCTCAATGTGTAGAACCTAAACTGTGTCCGTATTGCTTCAATTACGGTTTGACTGTGGTTGACGTTTCGTGTGTGGGACAAAAAAAATTTTTCAGTCCTATTTCAAGTTTAAACCACCTAGTGGTAAGGAAGTGTAGGTTAAATCTAAAAACAAGGAAAAATAAAAGCAAACTCCACGTGCCTGTTTGCAAAATTAAAACTTTCATTTGCGGTGCATATGAATTATTTATAGCTATTTATTTTCATCTCTTAGCACTTGCGCATAAGTTGTACTTTTTATTGCACAAAATATTTTAATAGGCTGCCATGAATATTCAAGTTTGCACTTTAGGCTGCAGTTTACCAAAAGATAAGGGCAACATTTTCCCAGACGATTAGACATATAGAATAACTATGCATTCGCATTATCGCTAATTCCATTACTGCATGAAGCTAACGCAACATCAAGCAAGTAATCCTGCGAGATTGCTTTGCTTCTGTCAGATAATATCTTAAATGCTGCTAAACTGAATAGGGCAGTGCTGCCGTCGGCATTTCTCTACGTCTGACGTACTTTAATAGACCGAAGATAAATCTATCTAGTGTTGAAACTATGCAGTGGCGGACTCTTTGTTTCTTGGTGTAACTTATCAAAACTGGTCGAGCTGCTTGTGGACGCAGTATACGTAACGTATGGAAAAACTGCCACGCGACAGTTTAAAATTGCTTATTTTTTTACACCCCGACGTTGAAATTACGGGCCACGTTTCTTGTATGGCGCAATCATCATTTCCAGCAGCTTATGAGAGACCTCCCCGAGGACACTGACTGCACGCTACAAACTGAGCGGACCCTAATGCCGGCAACATTCAAGGACTGGCTGCATGCTCGATGTCTCTGCATCGCCAAGGTGCGCAAGTGTTCACATTTTTCCGTTGCAGAGTCTCATATAGCGAGTGTGTCTCAGAATCCCTTACTTCTCAATGGGAGCTATAGGTTAGGTCAACATTCAGATATCGGTTCTCAAACTTATAGACGAGAAAACGGTGACACCTGGCTATTTTGACTTGGCCATATGATTACCCCTGTTTGAGCTGCCACCGCGCTTTGTGTACGTTTTTTCTTACTCAGTCAGAGAGACCATTTAAGCACGTCAGCTCGTAGACCATATAACATTAAAACATCTCCTTGACTTCAAGTAGCATTTAACGGCTAAAATACCAAAAAGTACTGACTCTGTCACAATATTTGAAAGTAAGCCAGTGGCCATAAGCAACTTACAGACTATCGAGTTGTTGCGGCTGAAGTATACGTGACCAAGCATCACCCAAAGCATGCTGATGAATCGTATGCCGTGAAGGCATCTCAGGCTCCGGTCGTTGGTTTTCGTCGACAAGATTTTCCGACCATTGGAGTACGCAGAAAACGCCTCCAACAGCTGCCGAAGAATGTCTGCGAAAGCACAGTGAACGCGTTTCAAATATAGTTGTATGCTAAGGCAGCCACAATACATGCGTTGTTATACATGTCAGTGCTTTATTTACTTCTTTGATGCCGCCGTACGTCGTCGAAGTCATGCTGCGAACATAGTCCGTACTTCACAGGTTACAGCCAACAGAAACAATACACATGTTATGACATGCTGAGCAGTGCGTACTGTTTCGGGAAATATATAAAGTGGCACCCTAATGCATGTTGTGTTTTTATTCGTCTCAGTGCAGAAATTAACGCGGTGTGTTAGCCAACTTCACAAGTATCAATTTTAAGACTGCGCTTCTGATATGAAAGTTTGAAACCTTCTATAAAAACAACTAATTCAGTTTTTGTGACCTTGACGACCTATTGTATAAACACTTTTCCGGCGTCCTAAGCGAAAGTAGGGAAACATATGGGGAAAAGAGCGGAGGGGGCACAGAAGAAGTTTTTACGCGTCGCAAGAATTGGGAAGTATGAATGAACAATGCATTTGGTTTGCGTACTACCAAAACGACCCCTTTTCAGAGCAAGGGAAGAACATTATTGACTTAAAACACACAGCCAACGCCTCCACTTGCTCGTCTTTGTTATAACGGTAATTATTAAATTTGCGACACACAAAGACACTTTCATAAAAAAATCTGACGACAAAAGAACGCTAACGTTCAAGAAAACATTTCTTTCTCACTTATCGTAATTATGCTGAGTGCTCGCAGCTTTAAAACACGACAGTAACAATACCTGGGAAGTTAACACCTTATCTGATTGCGTACTCACCAGCCTGTAGTCTTGGACTTCGTTCAGCCTCATTTATTTTACAGATGAGGTCGCGTCATTTATAATTTTATACATGTACAATTCGCTCCTTTCTCCGGAACAGCTTGTTTCTACGTCACTTCTTTGAAGCCAGAGTCTTCCAACTCCTTCGTTAATCATTCCTTGCTGGTGTTGCCCATGAATGCTTTGCGTTGTTGACGGATGTTGCACTAGTGGAACTGCAGAATACTTACACAATTGCTTTGAACATTGCTGTTTGACAGAGGTGCTCGCATTAAGGGCAGGTTTAAATGTAGTGTGATACTTGGGATGTTTAATGGGCCCCTCACCAGGACACATTGCAAGTTTCGGTTATGCATACACTGGAAGTTGTTAAGCACCACGTAGATATTTTTTCACCAAAAAGCTTTCAAATCATTTCGTTGCTGGAAAGGAGAATAAATGGAGCTGCCGTGTCACTATGCGGCCAGGAGGCCTGTGTCCCTGCCAACTGAAACTCTTCTTTCTTCGCCTCGGCAAGCGTCGGCTTGGGGCCTTCGTGCATTCGCTTATACAGCCCAGCCGCAAAAAAGCCTTGCCTTTTCATTTCATTGTGATAGCAATTATATAAATACTCCTGGCGTATAGTTGATGTCGGCGTTGGTGCCACCGCGAAGTACTGTATAAAGTACAAACTGATGACGTCTCTCCGCGCATCTCATGTTGTACGTTTGAGGAATGTTTCCTCCAACATTTGTCTTTTCACAGATGACTGCGTTGTCCTCCACGAAATCTCAGATAACAACAATAAGAAGTGTGTACAAGACGATATAAACGCTATCTCTAACGTGTGGCTAATGAAACGAAACATTTCTAAATGTAAAAAAATGCGTGTAACTTGTAACGATGTTCCTCCGCCTAACTATTACCTTAACAACAGTCTCCTAGAAGCCGTAAAATTTTACAAGTACCTTGGCATCTACATAACCTCGACACTTTCCTGGTTTTTACACACTTATAAGCTAATTAGCAATACTAACTGCATGTTAGGATATATCTGGCAACCTTTTTCTTCTGCTCCTTCCTCATTAAAATTGATCTTATACAAACACTCATTAGGAGTAAAATGAATTACGCACCGTCCATCTGAGACCATCGCTCCACAACTCATATTCAATCGCTTGAACTAATCCAAAATAATGCCGCTCGTTTCATTTATAATTATTACAGTCGAATATCAGGCGTAACTTCCATGAATAACGTTTCACTACTTCCTCGCCTCTCATCCCGACGTAAGTGTTTTCGCCCTGTTTTATTTCATAATTTATATTTCCCAAATTCCTACCTGCGTAAAAACCTTATATCATCTCCTTCTTACATTTCTTCTCGCATTGATCATGTCTATAAGGTTGGGATAATGCACTGCCATACCAGACCTGTAACGAATAATTTATTCCGTTCCCAGGTCGTCTCAAGAATGTAACAACCTCACCGGCACTATTGTTTCTATCAAGGACCACTCAAAGTTTCGCTTTGACTAGCCCAACCAGCCCAAACCACCACACTTCGCTTGGCCATTTCGGACATCATCACTCCCGAATTTAACTGGTCAATCATTTCTTGTGTTACCTAGCCACTTTTGCTGCTTTGTTTTTGTTTTACTTTTGTATGTGTTGTTAACTACTTCCCTCTGTAAGACTCCGGTCCTGAGGGTAAAATAAATTCAAAATGAGGGCTGTTTGTAGTCGCTGCTCGTGTGGAAATGAAGCGTGCCGGCCGTATTCATTGCGCCAAAGGCCCATGAGGACCCGAAGGCGAAAAGGAGGGGTGGCTGTGCACCTCCGGCAGAAACTCCGTACTTTCTCTGGCCGGGCCTTATCAACCCTGGTCGCACGCGTCGTATCTTTAGATGGATGTGGTTCATACCTTTGTACGGAAAAGATTGCGTTGAAGGCATAAACTGAACGAGTGTCACTTAACTTATTCTAGCGGCCGGGTTTCGTTACGTCAACAGTTTGTTGAGTTAGGAAGGTGGCACGCTGAACAAGTTAACCGCTAGACTTGGCTTGTGTGACATTCCAATTTGTTGCCCTCGCATTTACTACTTCGTCCTTGTTACCCATTTCTCGCTCCCTTTTTCATTCTACGTCCCGATGCTTTTCATATGCATGGCATTTTGCATTGAGAATGTATTGATTGACCGTAGCCATCGCAGTATAACCGGTAGACTACGCTGCCGGAGTAAAGTGAACGTTTTCGGTTATCAAAACAGCAGCACACACACAGACGCACACAAACATGCGCACTTACGCCGTTACAATTTTTTTTCTTTAAGCGTTACTCTTTGGCGTGCTGTGCTATCTTATGCTACGCTTTCAGCAGGTCAAAAATTCTCGATGATATTAGGCTGTACTTACTTTTCTCCGGCTCCTTGAGTGGTTCTGGCTCACGCCTTACGACTCTTCTTACTTTAGGCGTAATTTCAAGCAACGTGCCAGTGATGACAACAAGGATGCCGCAGCCGAAAATGACCCTGTGAAAATACCAAAGTAACGTCCTGTTTCTACTAAATGCCTGCGTTATACGGGTTCTGTGTCGACATCAGTACGGGCAACATATGTGGAGCCTGCAAAAGTGAATTGGTCAAGCTGTGAGGCGTGAAATTGCGCTTTCGTGTGCTCTCGAATGTCCTTTCAATCCACATTACAAAAGCAAGAGTACATGTTCTCGACATAACTCAGGCGAATGTGCAGTATTGTAGCATTTGAAGCAGAACACGAAACTCGTGGTTCACGAGTTAGTGGTATTTCAGGTAAACTTAACAAAAAAAGCCCAAGATTGTCGCACGTAATTTAAAATTTGTCAAAGTTCTGATTTGATCTGTGGAGCTTAACATCCCAAAACCATTATATGATTATGAGAGACGCCGTAGTGGAGGGCTCCGTAAATTTCGACCACCTGGGGTTCTTTAACGTGCACCCAAATCTGAGTACACGGGCCTACAGCATTTCCGCCTCCATCGGAAACGCAGCCGCCACTACCGGGATTTGATCCCGCGACCTGCGCATCAGCAGCCGAGTACCTTAGCCACTATAGACCACCATAGCGGGGCTTTGTCGAAATTCTGGCAACAACTATATGATTAGGAGGACATTACAACATCTAAAATTCAAAAAATACAATAAGCGCGGGCACAAAAAAATGACACTATAGACTAGATGCCGTCGCATAAACGGGCATACCGTTTGTGTTCGTCAAATTATACGATTGAGTATGCCACACAGCTCTTTAATTTATGCACAACAGTGGTTTTTACGTGAGTGCTCAGCCATGAAATCATAAACACTCAGACACCGCCTATAGACTATAATTGTGGCGAACTTGAACAAACCAACACGTTTCTCAATTTCACGCTTCAACCACGTGCCCGGAACCATTTAAAAGTCAACTCCTCCTTCCAGCATTCCCCTCCATACGCACAAAAACGTTTTTGGTTGAAGTGCTGTAAGTAAGACCGGCATCTGGCCACCCGTTACATAGAATCAAACCCACCCATATGTCATTGACCTCTCAGCTGTCCTGTGGTATGCCCTGATACAATGTTGTATTTCTTATGGTGTCCACGCACCCCATCGTGGTGGTCTAGTGGCTAAGGTACCAGCTGCTGAGCCGGCGGTTACTGGGTCGAATCCAGGCTGCAGTGGCTGTATTTTCGATGGCGGCGAAAACGCTGTAGGCCCATGTGCTCAGATTTGGGTGCACGTTAAAGAACCCCAGGTGGTCGAAATTACCGGAGCCCTCCACTACGGCGTCTCTCATAACGACAAGGTAATTTGGGGACGTTAAACCACACATAACAATAAATTATTGTGTCTGCGCTGCTTTTTTGTCACTAGGGCAAGCCACCATATAAAAGTAAATGCGCATGCACCTATTCAAAGTGGCTAGCATTATTTTCCCTTTTAAAAAGCAAACGAATAAAAATTGACTAGTTGCAGGAAGAGACAGAAGAAAAAAAACGTGGTTGTGGGCTCACAGGATCGCAACGTAGTAATCGGGAAGTACGACTTTCTGCTTCACTTCGCACCAGGGAACCGTCACGTTGGTCTTCATCTGCTTCCCGACTGAAACAAACAAACAAGCGAGAGGAACTGAAGTGTGAGGGAGACGGAAGCGTCTAGCGCCGCTGATGCTCAGCGTTCCGCCCCGAAGGAGGCGTGCTCGCGAACAAAGCACGGACGAGGAAGAAGACCCAAGATTGGTACCACTCACAGTAGCTGGCGAGACTCCGGATGTCTTCGAGACTGCAGGTGGAGGGGACGCAGATGCCGATGCGAAACTTGAGGAAGTACATGTAGGCCAACGAAGTGTCCAGCTCCAGAGTCTAGAATGGGCAATTGAGCAGGCGACCATTGTGAATTTCGAAGGCACGTCGCCGCTACAGGCGCTTTGACGATGTTGGGTGCGGCAGTCGTGTTGGGAACGTTAAGCACCGCGACACACGCTTTTACGCCTTCGTATTCGTTTTATGATTCGGCGCTTTCACGAGCATCGCGGCGTACATTTTCCTCTCAGAAGCTTTTCAGCGACTGATAATTTCAGAGGATAAATAGAAAACCACGATTCCAACTTCACCTGCCATTGAGAAGATAAACAAGACATCAGCGGCAACAATAACAGTACTACTAGTAGAACTGTTACTACTACGGCAATCAAGATCACTATCATTAGCACCACTGTATACTATGACCACTGCCAACAGCGAGATGTTATGCCGTGTTTTATTCAGGGTTTCAAACCGATACGAAACGAAAATAGTGCAGAACCATTTTTTTCCAAAACTGAACCCAAACAGAGCTTATGAAAACCTATATTGGAAAACAAACGGAGCCTGATTATATATTTTCCTAGGCAGGAAGATATTTTATCTGTTTGAAGCGAAGCGGTAAAAAGCATGCATGAGAGGCCGCCGTTCCTGCGTTTTACGTGCTGAAAATATTCCAATAGACACTCGTCCATGTGGTTCTAAGATAATGCCATTGTTGCGTAGACGCTAGGGTTTCTGATGGAATGGTCACTCTCGATTTAGACAAGTAAATTCATGATTCCACCACATTTAACAAGTTTCCGTTCCTTCGAAGTGCCGGACAATAATTCAGGAAGCACGGCGCTCTCCACATAGAGGCGTCTATGCCGTACATCAATTCTTATAAATAATTTTGGTGTGGTTGTGTACCGAGTGTGATCATACTGTAGTGGCTTACATATCGTGTACATCTCTAACATTGTGCAGGCAATTTTGTTTCCGGAGAGAGTCGGCAAAGCTTTATATTTTATTTCACTTCAATCCATAATCGAAGGTCATTTTCTTTTTAACATTCCTTTTCGACGGGGCTCGAAAATTGCGCTTTGTGAGCATTCATGGATACTTCCATTGTTCTTATTTTTAGCTAATAACGACTAGCAATAGAAGAAAATACGGGAAACAGAGAGCTCAGGTACGGAGGCATCTAAGCACCGCGCGCACTTGGCATGCCATTCAGTGCTCAAGATGATCAGGTGTATACGAGTGTGCCTGCTGCAGTTAACTTCACTTATTGATTGATTTATGGGGTTTAACGTCCCAAAATAACCACATGATTATAAGAGACGCCGTAGTGGAGGGCTCCGGGAATTTCGACTACCTGGGGTTCTTTAACGTGCACCCAAATCTGAGCACACGGGCCTACAACATTTCCGCCTCCATCGGAAATGCAGCCGCCGCAGCCGGGATTTGATCCCGTGACCTGCGGGTCAGTAGCCGAGTACCTTAGCCACTAGACCACCGCAGCGGGGCTTAATTTCACTTATATTTTTTCCGCCCTCTTATAAAACTTGCTGCTATGCCATGCGCACGGCACGGCACGTTATAGGGAAACAAACATAAATAACTGGACAAAAAAAAGCTCCTGTCAACTAAGGGGCGCAATTCACTTTAGCAGAGCAGCCTAGATTTGAGCTCAGCCCAGTTATGATGATAGTGCAGTGCAACGCATCGAAGATCAAATTCTCTGTCTCTAATAGCTTTACGAACCGGTGTAGCGTTGCGAACGGCTTAGCGCGCGGAGAATTATTTATTTTTATTCCTCGAACCAAAACTGAATCGGTACTCGTTTAACCCGAAGCGAACTCGTATTTTTTTTTTCTATTCGACACCTTGGTCTCTTAGCAGCCACTGACGTGAGATCAAAATAGGGTCCAAAATAATATTTATATCTAGATTATGCCGTGCTGTTAAGCCTGAACTATATAAGCGGGGATAAATGAATTTAAATGTGAAGCATACCAAGATATGCGCTAACTTGTTTACTGTTTGCTTGTTTTATAAGGGACGCATTTCACGTTCAAGTGGAGAAAGTGGATGCGAAGATATGCTCAGACATCGGTCAGACGGGACTGTTTTTCCGAACGTGCCCCAGTCGTAACGTTGTCGCTGGTTCACTGCTAATCAATATTGTAAATCAAAGTGACTCAAATACTTTGACCTCACTGGCTCCATTGGTGCATTTGCTAAACACCTATGAGGCCCTTAACTCAGCCTTAAGCAACTAATTTTGTGATACTATGTAAGATGGCTTTCGCAATCAAATCGTTGAGCTCACGGAAGCGGGTTACAAATCGCATTTAAATTTAGGTGTTGGTGAAGATTTATTGCAGGAAATAAAAAGCCTGAAACCGGTAAGGAAGATGCAAGGAAGGGAGTATGGAAGGCAGGAAGGTAAACCAGAGGCACGTCCTGTTCGCTATCACGCACTAAAGGGGTGGGGTCGGGTATTAAGGGATGAAAACAGAGATAGAAAGAAGGCAAAAAAGGTGCACCTTAGTTTAAAGCACACTGCTGCGTTTGACAGTCGTGGATGCGGGATTTCTGGCGTATCCTATTTCGCTGTAGACCGTCTAGTTATGCTTCCTACTGAAGGTTTGCAAGCACTGGACAGAGCATCCAGTACCCTTTTACGGACCCTGCGAATGGTCATTTCACCCTGCCGTCAAATACACAAAGTGGGCTTAACAATGATCGAAGCATTACGATAATTAACTTTTCTTCTGACAAGTTGTAAGTCATGGATTCAGAGTTCACACTTGGCGATGTGCATAGTGAGTCTGCATGTCACTGCGACTTCGGTAACGGAGGCCAAGCTGCGTCAGTTCTGTCCATGCCTTCCGCGGTGTTCTGATTTGTACCAGCCGTCCCCGATCCCCGTGGCTGCGTCTTCAGCAATGTAGACCTAGATGAATCCATGGCAGCCATGCCTCTAATTTCATTCTGGTTTATACTAGCCGCATGGTGTCCAGGTGGCGAAGCAAGTGAAGCAGGTCGTCGAATGCTCGCCGGGGATGCAGAAGCATTGAATTTTGCTGATGAACTTCGGCGAGGATGGTGCCGCTTCCGAATGGTTGCAGCGGCCTCGCGATGCGATGAATTATCTCTCATAATTTGTCTCAATACGGCTATATCTCTTTTATATGTTGGGCAATCTTTTGATGAAGCTTTGTGGAGTCCATTACAATTCGAACACTTGAGATCATTGCCCTTTAGCCGTCCGCAGAATGGGAATCAGCGCAGAAAGAACATACTCGCTAGTGTTCGCATACGCTACTCACATGGCCGATCTTCACGCAATTGCGACACTGTGGGGGCTTCGGCACAAAAGGTCTTACAGGATGACGGAAATGGCCCACCTTTACGTACGAAGGTAGAGTGCCTTTAAAATTTATTCTCAAGCAGCGTGAGGTACCCAAACGAGCAACCTTGGCTATGACGCTGGCTTCATTAGCTGGCTTTACTATAGACCATACACACAAGTCGGAGCTGGGAATGGCAGCATCCACATCGTAGATGACGCCAGTGACGACGTTGGAGCACACTGGGATGTAAGAACAGACTTTGATTCCATCCAGATCTTTAACATTGCGCAGTATGTTCAGTACGGCAACATGCGAAACATCAATCGCCATGACGTTTTTACGCCGGTTCACTCTGACGTCGATGATTTCACTAGGTCCCTCGAGCAGTGCCGGAACATATTGCTAGTTGAGGCGTTTCATGATGCCGTTGGGCTCAACAGGAATGAAAATGATAAGATATATATATATATATATATATATATATATATATATATATATATATATATATATATATATAAAAGAAGGCCGGGAGGTTAACCAGATATTGCTATCCGGTTTGCTTCCCAGCACTGGTGGTGCGGAAATAGGGGCACGAAAGAGGGGTAGATAGAGAAGAAAAAAACACACGTGCACACATGAGACAACGAACACACACACAGGAAGGGCATTCTGCAGCTACAAGCGTTCAGAAAGGCTGGTTGGTCATAAAAAGTGCAGTAGTGCTTTCAGAGCCTTCTTCTGCGAAGTTGCATCTTGTCGATATTCTAAAATTCTTTTCTCCGACAGAAGTTGATTATCTAATTGGCTGAGTTTTTTGCAAAGGCATAGTTGTTGTCTACTATACTCTAGGCAGTCACAAAGGATATGTTGGATGGTTTTTTTCTTTGCCACAGTGCCCACAAGCTGCGGTGTCGGCCATCCCAATGCGGAAAGCGTAGGCGTTGGTAAACGCAACGCCCAACCGCAGCCTACATAAAAGGGTCTGGTCTGCTTGGCAAAGCCTCGACCGGACTTGCAGACTTAACGTATGGTCAAGCTAGTACAGTCAGACATGCTTGAAGTGCGGCTGATTCCATTGTGATATGGTTTGCTGGCGAGTAAGCCGGTGGAGCTTTCGTGCAGCATCTGTCCTTGAAAGTGGTAGTTGCAGTTCATGGCCTTCTGCGTGGGCTGAGCGGGCAGCTTGATCGGCCCGTTCATTGCCGATGATTCCGCAGTGACTGGGTAACCAATGAAATGTAATTTGGTGTCCTTTCTCAGTCAGGTGGTGTATAACCTCTGCTATCTCAAGTACCAGTTGCTCGTGTGGTCCACGGCGTAAGGCAGATAATATAGACTGCTGTGCCACCTTCGAGTCGCAGAAAATAGTCAACTTGCGTGTAGGTTGATCAATGACAAATTGCAACGCGGTACGAAGGGCTGCAAATTCTGCTGCCGTTGATGATGTTGCGTGGGATGTCTTGAATTAAATCGTCATGACCAACCTTGGTATCACGAATGCTTCGGTTGAGTTGTTCGGCTGAACCGATCCGTCAGAGTATATATGTATGGAATCTTGGTATTTTTCATACAAGAGAAGTACTGTGAGCTGCTTAAGAGCCGGTGATGACAAATTGGCTTTTTTCTGGACGCCAGGTTTATTATAATAATTACAATAATTATTACAATAATTATAATAATTGGTTGAGCGAGGCACCATGGCGGAGTCACAGGCCC